AACTGTATTCTAAATACCACCTTTTTAAACGGTAACTGTAACGGAATACAGTTACTCATATTTTGTATTTTAAATACGTAACGGCCGTACATGTATTCCGTTACTCCCCAGCACTGACTACAACACGGGAAAAGATGATAAAATCCTGAAAACCCTAAATTTCACACCCGAGCCTCAGCTCTCACAGACCGGTACTGGTCCCCAACCCGGGGATTGGGGACCGCTGCTCCAATGCTGTACACTCTATAGATTGCTGCTTCCCATTGTGTGGTGGCATAGAAGTGAAAATCCTGCAGAGTTTTTCTAGTTTAAGAAAATTCACAAAATTCCATGAATACAAAAAATGATTTTGCCTGGTTCAGTTTCCGATAACGATGCTTTCCTTGCTTCATATCTACACTCACATTTTCCTTTTTCTGTTCTGCTCTGAAGGTTGAAAATGAGTCAAACACCCTCCAGGATGGTTCACTGATTGATCTGTGTGGAGCAACCTTGCTGTGGAGGACCCCCACCGGATTGCGGCATACTCCTACTCTCAAACAGCTGGAGTGCCTTCGACAGGAGCTGAACGCTGCGAGGCCTCAGTGTCCTGTGGGCTTCAACACGCTGGCCTTCCCCAGCCTGGCCCAGCGCGAGATTGTCGACAAGAAGCAACCCTGGGTTTATGTCAACTGCGGTCACGTACACGGCTACCACAACTGGGGCTACCGGAAAGAAAAAGGGCCCCCCGGCCCCGGAGGCACAGCACCTGCCGGCACAGGTGAGAGGGAGTGCCCTATGTGTCGAAGAGTAGGCCCCTACGTGCCGTTGTGGTTGGGCTGCGAGGGTGGATTGTACCTGGACGCTGGGCCACCCACTCATGCTTTCTGCCCCTGTGGTCACGTTTGCTCAGAAAAGACAGTAGCAGGATGGAGCCAAATCCCATTGCCCCACGGCACTCATGCCTTTCATGCTGCCTGCCCTTTCTGTGGTACCTGGTTGACAGGAGAGCAGGGCCACATCAAACTCATCTTCCAGGGGCCCGTTGATTGAAGCTGAGAGAGTGCGGGCAGATTGACTAAGGACCTGCTGACTAAAGACTGTGTGTGCTGACATGATAAGCTGAAAGCAACTTGCAATAGTACATACCAAGGCTTCACATGGAATATGAAGTGTATGGAGAGTATGTAAAATAAATTGTGTTGAAAACAACATGTCTTTATCTTTTTTTTCCCCGTGTCAGCATTTTAATAGCTGGACTGCTGCTCGCATCCATGTAGGATGCAGCTGGTAAACAGTACAGCCAGGGGGCGCCAGAGGGAGAAAAGGGTCCATGATTGACAGGAACCCTAGAAAACAGTAGAACAATCTATTAGTCTTTTTTTAGACAGAAATGATTAACCTAAAAGAGACAACTGGACGCTAGAAATGTGTCTAATTGCAGGAGGCCCCTTGGAAAATTACATTTTAAAAAGATATCCAAAGGATCATTTAAGTCATATTTGCCAATACTTAATTATTTCAATTATTTTGTCCTAAACGTTATGCAGCCGTCTGCCAGCAGTTGGCGCAGCATTGTTGAAAACAACATACATCTGTTAATCTAGGCCTGATCGTTTTGTAAACGCTACTGAAAAAGTTGCTGAAATGAGCTTTCATTGGACAGGCTTCTACCTTAGAGTGTCAGGAGCTCAGCCATTCAGAGGGGGGGCAGAGTAGAGCCGCTACTCCTCTATGTTCAAAGGACACTAGGTTGTCACCTCCTGGGTAAGGTCTTCCGACCAGGCATGTCCTACCCAGAGGAGGCCCCGGGATAGACCTGGGACACACTGAAGAGATAACATCTATCGGCTGCCCTGGAACAGCTCGATGTTTCCACAGATAACCTGGAGCCGGTGGCAGGAGGGAGGTCTGGGCTTCCCTGCTGCTGACCCACAACCTGAGAGGAAGAAAAAGGATGATTTATTGTTTTGTTATTTTAGATTTTAAGTTTTGTTGAAGTAGTCATGAATTTTCAAACAGCTCGCATCATTCATAATGCACGGCACACTTTTCAATTGCAATTTATGAGTTTTTCAAATGTTAATTTGTCGTATTTTAGTAATCCGTGAACATCTTCTATAGCAACACGTTTTCATATTCAACATCAGGTTATTTAAGCGTTGTCTTCCTCGCTGTCTGGAGTATAACATGTGATGTTGATAATGCACGATGCGAGGCGCCACACATTTATTCAGTCTGTGATTAATGGTTTTAAATGCCTTTGTTAATAGTTTTTGACATTTTCCGTTAAAGCAGTTCTCAAGTGTACCTATATATCTGAGTGTTAACTTAGTGTAACTTTTAATTTCTTTTTAATTTCTCTATATCTCTACATCATCTAATAATGTTATTATTAAAAACATTAAAACATAAAAAAAAAAGATTTGCAGATATCTCGTCAGTTTTGCACAAAATCAAAACATCGAAGCAAAATTTTGATCAATTTCTGCATTTTTAGAGTCAGCATGGTTTACAATATTAAAGTGGTGGGGCCCGAAGTTGGATGTTTTCCCCTCACAGGGCCTCAAATCCTTGGCCTTATGTCAAAAAGAAAGAAATTATAAATTAACTGTGATTAACCATATTAAAAAAAATTGAAGGCCAATTGATACTAACCCCAAATTGCTCTCCGATGCATCCATCGGAGTATGAATGTGTGTGTGAATGTTACTTAGAAAGCACTTAGAAAAATGTGCTTGTGCGAATGGGTGTGAATGGGTGAATGTACAAGTTGTGTACAGCGCTTTGAGTGCTCAGAAAGAGTAGAAAAGCGCTATATAAGAACCAGTCCATTTACCATTTACCATTACCATTACATCACAGCAAGGCGACAAAGGAATAATAAATACATAAATGAAAATAAAAATCTTAAGATTAAGCTCAAACAATCAATTAATATATAAACCAGAGTAATAACAAAGTACAAACAAATAACAACATTTTTTTCATCAAATAATTAATTAAGAAGAATAAACAACAAAATAATGTAGTAATAAAGTAAAAAGAAGATAAAATAGTGATAATAATATAAAACAATAAATAACAAAAACAAGGTAAAAGGTGAAGTTGAGATAAATAATGATAAATTAAAAGTAAGGAAACAAATACATAATAGCAAAATAAAAAAGTTACATTACCTCGCATGATACATTTTTATCAAGGGACTCGATTAAAGTGGCTTATTGGTCACAAAGTCAGTGAGTACGCAACAATATCAGCAATGTTTAAACGCCTTATTAGGGGCAACAAACTGAGAAAGTTTTCATTTGATTTTCTTTTAAAGCCAAAGATTGCAATCCTGTGGTTTTATCTTAAAAAAATAGTAGTATAGTAAATGACTTCCTGTTGTGAATCACAGATGATCCCTGGCAGAGTATTTTAAACCTGGTGTTACAAACCTGGGTTTTAGGATGGACAGTGATTTTAAGTTGGACACTCAAATTAAGGATCCTGTCAAGTCCAGTTTTTATCATTTAAGGCGTTTGGCAAAGCTAAGACCTAATTTATCCAGGCCGCATTTTGAACAGTAATCCATGCTTTTACTTCATCTCGTTTGGATTACTGTGAT